AGGATCTAAGGGTTGAGCTCTGGAAGCCGTGGTGAAGGGATTTTGTGTCTGTAGATCTGATGTTTTCCTGGTTCTTTTTCTGAGAATCCCTTTACTTTTAGACTAGCCAGAGGCAAAAAAAAATCTAGGGATGCACAAAACCTTCCAAAATTTGAAATGAACTGAGTGCAAGAAGCCCTCCCTTGTAGGAAGGCCTGGGCTCCTTCAGGTTGAGGCAGAGGCTGAAGTGACTCTGATCTAGCCTAGGAGGCAGCCCCCCTTGTGGTGGGCATGTGGGGCCCATCCCAGTGTGCATGGGTGCTGTAGCAGGAATCTCCCCACACCTCTGAGCCTGGGGCCTCCAAGACTTCACCCTCCATATCATTTGCACAGCAGTGAAGCACTTATTGAGAGGAAAACTTCATCAGGTCACCTCCTTTGGTGGTGTGTGCCCTGCCCCAATTCCTCAGCAGCCAGTCACCCTCCCTCCCCCTCCTTTGAACACAAACGCCCCTAGAGAGCAGGTGGGAATTGTTCCATCTTGCTGAGCTGCTGGCATTTTGCACCTCTCCTCTGTCTTTCCTCTCTCACCCAGGAAAGCCCTTTAGGATTGCTGTTTCACCCCTTGGCAAGCGGTAAGTGTGTGCTCCGGGTTCCTGCTTTTGTTAGCAGTCAGTGTATATTCTCCACCTTTATGGCTATTATAAAGTGCCCAGCCCTCTTCCTGCTGCAATGCAGGGGAGGAGCAGGGCGTGGAACACCTTTCTTATAAAAGGTGTGTCTCTGAGGTGCTCTGTCTTGTGTGTCCCTTGATGATGTGGTTGCTATGGTAACTATCCATCTGGAAAAAAATCCAAGAATAAACAGGAAATAAAGCTCTTGCCCAACTGGCTGAAGTGTAAGTCTGCCCTCTTTGATATACCTACTTGACACAGCTCCCGCCTCCCTCCCCACAGGGTGAGAACCCACTCTTTGGCAGTAGGACTCTGGGGTGGGAACCAGTTATCTTGGCCTGCACAGATCAAAAGTGAGCTGGGGTTTTGCAGAAAGGAAGGAGTCCTGGATTTTCAGGTTCCTTTGTAAAGAGGGCAGCAAAATGATACCTGCTCTGATCTTTGTGAGGAACTCAGATGGCCCCCATCCCTGCCCCTCTACATCCACCTGCTACTCATTGTCACTTCCAGGTGGATCCAGTCTGGTATCTCTGAATCAATGCTGAATTAGCAGTATGTGAGCACATTCCTTGAAATTTTCCAAATGGAGAAACCAAGGCCAATGAACTTTCACAAAGTGAACACTTGGGAGAAAAAAAAGCTTGTAGAAGCCAGGGAGAATGCCCTCTAGCTCCTGGAGAATTGATCTTCAGATTTCTCAGCCTGGGGTGCTTGCTTCTGGGTGACTCCATTGCTTTCTTACCTTGTTTTACATACTGCCTGCCCCCACCCAAATCAGGGGCCCAAACACACTCAAGAGTTTTGCTTTCCTCTCCCCTTCCAGGACTTTTCATCCATCATCATCATTTTCCCTGCACAAAAATAGTTAGGGCAGCACTGCCGAAAGTAAAAAGACAACACCTTCCCCTCCTCCCCCACCACCAACGCCACTGAGGCTTGTCTTGCAGAGGGCCTTCCACTCACGCTCCAGGCAGGAAGGGGAAACAGGCCACCTCCACCTTTCTGAGAAACTCTACTTTCAAATGATTTTCTTGACAAAGTGGTAGGCATAGGACTTAGCAAAACAGGTTACCACTGTGGGTGTTTTTCTCCGCCCTGTCTGCCTTCTTCCCATCACTCTCTCCCTCTATCCCACTCTCCCCCTTTCCTCCCTCTACCCCCTCCCCTTCCCTCTCCTCCCTCCCCCTCCCTCTCCCCTTCTTTCCCATCCCCTTCTCCCCCTCTCCCTTGCATGTATATGCCGCCTCTGCAGATCCTGATGGTCCTGTGCCTCCTTGTGACCTCAAAAATGGGAGGAAGGCTGGGGAGGGGAGGGGATGGTAGAGGCCAGGAAGCCAATAAAGTGGGCTACAGCTCCATGGTAGGCCTTCCTGCTGCATGGGTTCTAGCTCTGGGACCGCAGTGGCTTGCTGTCCTTCCTGCTCCCTTACTTCCAGGGTCTGCACTCTTGTGGGTTTAGCCTCCTGCTTTGGCTTCCTCTAGGCATAGGCAGGATGGTAGCATTGCTGGACAGTAGTAGTGCTGTCTACTATTTGAACTCAGGAGAACAAAGGCCCAGTTGACCTGGTCAGGCAGGCATTTCTGCATTCATAGCACCTGGGCCTGAGGTCACATAGGCAAGATGGGCCTATCTCTGCTGGGCATTGGGACACACTAGCACAATCAAATACAGGGAAGTTTCAGGGAAATCGTGAGGTGGGCCATCTCCCCCCACCCTTGGTAAACGAATCTGTATTGAGGCTATGAGGGGAACAGAGATAAATGAGCAAAATGGGAAATGTGAGCCCCTCCACAGTCATTCCTTTTAAATACCGGCTATCTGGCCATCCTCCCACATGTGTAAGGGACCCTGTGGCACTCTGTAGCAATGGCATGTGCAGCCCAGCGGTACTCTCCCTGTTGGCCTGGGAATATTGAAAAGGCCTTCATGGTGCCTCAGTGTCCCTCCTGCCAGGCACAGGGCTGTGTATCATCAGTGTGGTGATTACTGAGCAAATAAATTCCTGCTTTGGATTTGGGGGAACCTGCTGTTTCAAGTATTACTGATTCCCCCCTGCCAATATGAGAGTTTCTATGGGTAGCCACACAGCGTTTCCGCTTTACACACATACAGCAGTTTTTTGCATTGGGTTCAGCTGTTAGTACCTCTTAAAAATGTATACCATGTAATAACATATATTTTAAACACATGATTTTCATGCAGCTAGAATTTTGTCATTAGTTATCTCATAATGATTCCAAATGTTGACTTTGTTGGAGAAATCTAGTGTTTACAACATAACTAGAATATTAGAAATTCTTTAGTATTAGGAGGTCATACTTGAGTTGGGCCCAAAAGGGTGACCTAGAAGGACATGGCAGGCAGGGCAGAATTGGAGAAGTGGGAGTGTAAGATACATTCTGGAACAGTCTGCACACCTCATGAAGGAAGTGAGGAGATGGTGATGCGGTAGACGGGTTACCAAAAGAACTGTATTGCCAAGGAGAAAAAAGTCTCTCACCAAAGGGCACTTCCTAATTCCTACCCTCTTTGGTCCTGTGAGGTTCTGCCCTGAAGGGCAGGCAGTAAATCTAACCTAGCATCAACTATGGGCCATGCTCATAGCCTTTTAGGTTTTTTTTTCCCCTCAAACTTTTTATTTTGAAAAATCTCAAACATACACAGAATGCTGAAAAAAAACCTCTTCTTTATTTTTTTTACTTTTATTTATATTTATTTTTAATTGACATAATAATTGTATATATTTATGGGGTATGATATGATGTTTTGATATATTTATTTTTTTTTTTTTGGCTTTTTTCCGTGTCCGGCAACGGATCGCAACCCTCAGTGTTGCCCCCGGGGTATGATATGATGTTTTGATATATGTGTACATTGTCAAATGAGTAAGTCAAGCAAATTAACATATCTATCACCTCACATTCTTATTGCTTTGTGCTTAATTGTATATATTTATGGGGTATGATATGATGTTTTGATATATGTGTACATGGTCAAATGAGTAAGTCAAGCAAATTAACATATCTATCACCTCACATTCTTATTGCTTTGTGCTGAGAACATTTAAAATCTGCTTTTAGCAATTTCGAAATATACATTATTATTGACTATAGTTACCATTCTGTGCCATATATCACTAAAACTCATCCATCCTGTCTCACTGAAGCCTTGTACCTTTTGACCAACATCTCCCCTTTTCCCACCTCCAGCCCAAGTAACCACCATCCTACTCTCTACTTCTATGAGTTCAACTTTATAGATCCCACATATAATTGAGATCATGCAGTGTTTGTCTTTCTGTGCCTGGCTTATTTCACTTAGCATAATGTCCTCCAGGTTCATCCATGTTGTCACAAATGACAGGATTTCCTTGAAAGGGGAACATTCTTATATTGTATACCTAGATTTAACAGTTGTTAATATTTTGCCATATTTGCTTTACTCTATAGACTTTTCTTCAGAATTATTTGAGAGTAACTTGGAGATATCACAATGCTTCACCCCTAAATACTTCAGCATATATCTTAAGAACAAGATATGGTATTTCCTACAGAAAGGCAATACCATTATCACACTTAAGAAAATTAATAATTCCCTAGTGTCTGATATCCAGTCCACATTGAAATCTCAATTGTCTCTGAAATGACTTTTATGGCCATTTAAAAAAAAAAAATCAGGGTCCCATTAAGGATTGACACATTGTATTTGGTTGTCATGTTTCTGTAGCTTTTTTTAATATACAGTTCCCCACCACTTTTGTTTTATGTTTTTATGACATTGACTTTGTAGAGTCCAGTCATATCCTTCTAGTTTTGAATCCCAATTCAACACTGATTAAGTCAACAAAAATTTGTCAAGCCCCCACAATATCAAGCCACCGTCCACTTCCACCTCTATACCGTCAGATGCAAGCAGTGTGCTCTCGGGGCCACAGTGCTGACTCTGCAGAGTTGGCCCTGGTGACTTTTATAGTGCTGACTGCATGCAGCCCTTTCTGGGAAATGGGAGCTGGAACTGGGTTCAGATCTCAGCCCAGCCACTTACTTACTGAGTGATCTTCAGCTGGTCCCTTCTTCTCTGTCAGCCTCAGTTCCTTCATCCCCACAACAAAGGGGTTGGACCAGGTGCCTCCTGGGTCCCACTCGGCTTTGCCATTCAACACCTCTGTGACTCCATCCGAAGTACTGCCAGGAAGACCCGCCTGTAGCTTCCCACCTCAGGGCAGCTGCTTCACGGAGCAGACGCTTGTGCCCATTGCCAGCACTGCGAATGGGGGGTTGGACAGGAGGACACACTTGGTCCTCTGATGCTCTAATGTGACCATATCTTTTCTCTGCTCCCCACAGCGGAGATCCTGGAGCTGGCTGGAAATGCAGCCAGAGACAACAAGAAGGGACGGGTCACACCCCGGCACATCCTGCTGGCTGTAGCCAATGATGAAGAGCTAAATCAGGTATGGGGCTCTCCAGGCACTTGAGCAGATGGTCATACCACCCAAGAGACAGAAATGTCTGTCTGTCCAGAGGGCTTTGGTGTTGGCTGGTTCTCAAAGGTGTAAACTGCATTTGGGACTACCAGCTGTTTCTCTGTTTCCCATAGCAGTTTTTCCTCAAGGCCGTAATGGGAGTGTGTGTTGGCGGGGAGGGAAGTGGGAATGAAACAAGGTATTGGGCTGTCCCTGGAGGAAAGTTATTATCTAAATTCCATCTGCGTGATGGACTCTGAGACTTGATCCCTGTGCAGTGAGCCCGAGTCTTGCCAGCATCCTTGTAGATGCTATGGAGGGAGGAGCTATACAGCAAAAGCAAGGACATGTGATGGACTCTGAGACTTGATCCCTGTACAGTGAGCCCAAGTCTTGCCAGCATCCTTGTAGATGCTATGGAGGGAGGAGCTATACAGCAAAAGCAAGGACATGCCTGGCCAGGGCTAGTTTTGTGCAGATCAGGAGCAGGGTGGTCTGTCTCACCATCTGCCACTTTGGTTTTCCTGCAAGCTGCTAAAAGGAGTCACCATAGCCAGTGGGGGAGTGTTACCAAACATCCACCCTGAGTTGCTAGCGAAGAAGCGAGGATCCAAAGGAAAGTTGGAAGCCATCATCACACCACCCCCAGCCAAAAAGGCCAAGTCTCCATCCCAGAAGAAGCCCGTGTCCAAGAAAGCAGGAGGCAAGAAAGGGGCCCGGAAATCCAAGGTACGTGACTTGGCAGGGATGCATGGATTAGGGCAGGGTGGTCTTCAGGTAAAGGGATCACAAGGGACCCTCTTCCCTGTGAGGGCTCATCTATCCCACTGAGGGGGACTAAGGAAGGAACATGTAGGAGCTGATTACACAGGAGCTAGTCCAGCTCAGGTGGCCAGAGTCAGGAAGTCTCTGAGTCTGCACACAACTGGAGAGCTGAGCTCCTGGGCAAGGCTTCCAGGGAGTGAGGAAGGTAGCGATAGTTCTAGGTGGAAGGACCCCTGTGCCTGGCTTGCCAGGGATATCTGCATGCCTGTGGGAAGGCGCTTCCCTGTGCTAGGGGACAGCCACCACCCATTCCTGCCGAGGGGACTGATGCTTTGATGTTCAGTGGTAGAACTCTCTCTGTGTGGCCATGGCTGCAGGTCCTCCTCCAAGTGTTTTCCAGCAGGGCCTTGCAGGCCGTTTGCTCTTTGGAATGATCGCCTCTGTCAAGGAGGGAAACAGACGTATCACTCAGGCACTTCCTGCTGGACCTAACTTGGACTGAAGGCTAGGTTCTAGGTGCTAGTCTTTTTGTGGTGAGGGAAACCCTCCCATTAGTGTGACTGAATTTCTTCTTGGGTGGGGAAGGCCAGCAAGTCCTGAGCCATGATCTTCACAGCATGGGGAGCAACGCCCCACCCTCAGGAGGCCTGGGCCTGTGAGTGCTTGTGCTCACCTGTCTGAGCCACCTGTCAGCAGGAGAGCACAAGGCAACTGGAACACAAGTTCTTTGTCCCTCCCTTGCTGGGCCCCTGCCTATCAGCTATTGACATAGTCTCCAGGGCCAGCAAACAAGGGAGAGTGCAGTCAAAGCATGGTTTTCAGTAAAGTGTCATCATGGGGCTGCCCTGCCCCAGGGAACCCCCCTGAGTTCTCCTCCTGTCCTCCAGCACACTAGGAGGGAATTACCTCTACAGAAGGTGATCTCTACCTTGTAAGACCCTCAGTGACAACTTCTTAGAAATGCTTTGGGATCTAATGATGCAGTATCAGGAAGTTCTTCCCACATGAGCCACATTCTCTCAGTGGAGTGAGATAGTGAGGACCCCTGCCCAGGACAGACTTGAGGAGTTGTGCATGTAGGGATGGTCGAGTCCCCATCCTATCAGCAGTCCCTCTTCTGAGCCCACCTGTGCCACAGGCAGACTGGCTTTTCACCCACAAGGGGGGCGGACAGCCACATTCTTCGACCTCTAACCTTCTTCTCCTACCCATACTGTATGTGGGGCCTTCTTTAGTTGAGGTGGGAGAGGCTGCATGTCTTTGCATGCCCTTCTGGATGCAAACAAACACTTCCCTGAAAACAAAATCTAAACTCCTCCTGCAAATGCACCACCACCCCCAGGCCCAGAATCACTCCTAGCTCTTTGAGAGAGAAACCTGATATTGAAGAGTGTCCTGTAAGTTATTTCGAGACACTTGTTCACAAGTCCTGGAGGAGGCTTGTGGCCAGGCAGGGATTTCACAGAATGCTCCATTACTAGTTCCTGCTAACTATAAAATTAGCAGATTGAATTGTTTCCCTCTCCCCTTTCAACATTTGCTATTAGGAGGAGGGGCAGGACAAGGAAGCAGGGGAAAGTGCCTCTGCAACCCTTTTCAAATGTTAAAAAAGATGATGAAGAGGCCAAATCCATCATCTTTTGAAAATGGGCCACAGGGACCCAGCCACCCATAGAGCAGGGCACCTGGCACTGGGGACCAGCAGAGGTAGAACTGCTTCCTTGGCTTGGCCTTTGCTCTGACCATGTCCTGAGCCATGGCCCTCTTCCGTGGTGCACTCTGCCTGTTGATACTTGAACCCATCTCTCAGATGCCAGTGTCTGCCTGCAAACCTGGGCTGAACCTCATTCCTGCATTACCCTAGTCTTCTCCTAGCAGTTTTTGCCCCATGACTTTCTGAACTTTCCAATTTATGAAACACTAGGAATTCTTTTGCTTTCTTTTTGGACTTGAAATATAGGGGGTGTGTGTGTGTGTGTCTTTAGTTCCTAGTAGCTATATTTGGAACTCAGTGTTTCTAATAACCATATGCCAATAATCACTCGAACACTCAACGTTTCCCTTGATTACAAAAGCAGGAAGTCTGTTATGGTGGTCTGTTTTTCTTCCACACAATAAAACACATTGTCTGCTTACTGTACCAGTATTTGGCTAACATTAAACCCTGGGGGAAGCTGAAATTGGAACCGTGAACAGCTAATTTTCAAAACATTTGTTTAATGTAAATTGTGGTGTCAGCTCCCAGAAACAGCGGAGAACCCTGCATCTCCAGGTTTAAGTGGAATGTTCTGAAAATAACCTTTCCAGGGACATGCAGAGAAAGCCTTAGTAACATGCTAAAGCACTTGTACTGAAAGGGAGTTGGTATTTTTCAAGTGTCAACGCTTGAATTCCAAATCATAATTTTTCCCTCAATTCTATATAATTTGAAGGTTTTGAAAATCTCCAGTTGTGACAGCTGAGTCAGCTATAGTAGAAACAGAGAAGGCCACAAACCCCACCAGGGGCTGGAAGTCCAGAGCCCTGTCTGTGCCCTGGGGCTCCTCCTTCCTACCTGGGTGGCCTCAGGCAACTCTATTCCCCTCTCTGTGCCTTGGTTTACCTCCACCCTATAACATAATGGGATCCATTCAACCTTTACAATTCAATGGCCTTATACATATTGCACAATGTGTTTTTGAGTAGGTAATATGTATAGAAGTTTGGACAGCACAAAACTGTGTGTAGTAAAAACATCTTACTCCACCAGTGCCACCTCTTCTCCCCAGAGCAGACTCTGTAGTGAGTTTTTATGTATCGTTTCAGAAAGTCTATGCATATGGAAGTAGATAGATATGTAAATCCCTTTCCATCCTACTTATTCTCTTTTTTTAATATAAATTACACAACCTATTTTGGCAGTGTGGTATAGTGGTTAAGAGTACAGGCTCTGGCGTCAGTTGTGGACTTTGTATTCCAATTCTGATATTTCCTAGCTGTGTGATCTTGGCAAGTTGCTTACCTTCTCTGGTGTTTGACTTCCTCATCTGTAAAGCGGGCATATAATACAGCGTAGTTGTGAGGCTTAAAAGAAATTTCACGTAAAGTGCTGAGAATAGTGACTGGCACAAATGTTAGATGCTGCTGTTATTATCTTGGCAATCCTTATTTCATATACTGCAGTTATTTATGCAAAACCTATGTAACCAGTCCTCTGTGAATGGACGTTGTAAAGTGCTGAGAATAGTTACTGGCACAAATGTTAGATGCTGCTGTTATTATCTTGGCAATCCTTCCATACCGTTGCATGTAGAGCTACTTTCATATTTCATATACTGCAGTTATTTATGCAAAACCTATGTAACCAGTCCTCTGTGAATGGACGTTTAGACTGTTTCTAGTATTCATTTTGGCAAACAGTGCCACAGTAGCCGTAGATCTCTGTGCTCATATGCAAGGATATCTATAGGAGGAAGTCCTCAAAGTGAACTTGCTAAGGCAGAGAGTGAGTGTATTTTTACCTTTGATAGCTATTATTCACTTAAAGAGCATTTGACCCCATTAAGAAATTTCAAAAGCTGCCTCATTCTTTTAACATTTATTACTGAGTTATCTAAAGAAGAATGAATACTCATTCAACCAGTATTTATCAAGTCTACATGTACTAGTTACTATTCTCAGTAGCGGAGATACAGCAGTGAACAAAAAGTCCCTGCCCTCTCTCAATGCTCAGAGAGGGGCACAGATTCTTTATAGAAGGGGGAGGGAGTAGATGCTATAACAAAATTAAGTGGGTGATGGCATAGGCAGTGTTACTTTACATAGGTGGTAAGGTGAGGCTACTTCAGTGGACACCTTATAGAGTAAGGTATCCAGTCAGTGACATGGCTAGGAGCAGAGAGCTCCAGCAGAGGAACAGCAAGTGGGCCTTGAGGGTGGTAGCATGCCTGGCCCCTCACAGAGAGAACATGACAGGACTTGCATGTGGGGGTCCCTGACTTTTCCATAACATGGACACCTTTGGCAGTGGGGGAAGCCTGGGACCCTTCTTAACATAAGATTTTCAAATGCATAAAATACGTAAGACTCAAAGTAAACCATTTATGCCTAGATACCTCAGGTTAAGCCTCCCTTCAGAGTTTTTACTAAGAATCACAGGATAATCTTGAGGAGATCTCTAAGAAAATACTTTTTGCCAAAAATTTGGATAAAAAATGATCTCACCTAGGATCTTTCAAATATAAAACTGCACCATCACCAAAACCCGCCCATCCCCATGTGAAAACCACCCTCCTGGATCAGAAGTTATGTTTTCTCCTCAACACCTGGCAAAAGCCCAAGATAATTTTGGTAGAATGCTTCTTTCTTTTTTTTTTTTTTTTTTTGAGGAGTAAATATTTAAACTGCAAATTAAGTGATTAATGTTCTGGTAAGGGATGCAAAAGAAAGGAATTGATTCTTTTGAGAAGCTGCCATGCTTACAAATTTTGTTAGTCTTTTAATGAAATTTCAGGCAGTTCAAACATCAGAGGAAAAGAGACTAGGCATAAGTAAACTTGGGTTGATTATTTCACATAAGTCTTTTTGGACACTCAGTTCTACAGATTCTTAAGTATGTTTCCCAGCACACTCTGACCTAATAGGTTTTCTACTGCTCCAAACAAAGCTGGGTGAGTGTTCAATACATGGGAACTTTTGGATTTGTAGAACAATATAAAATTCTAAAAAGTCAATTATTTTGGAGATTCAAGCAGGATTGCTTCTAACTTATTTTTTTTCCCTCAAGCTGGGATATTAAAAAATCTACCACTAGTATCACCTTTTCACAAAAGAAAGGACATTTTAATACCAAAAAGTTAAGGGCATAATTTCAGACAATAGGCTTTATTAAAAACTTAGGCACAGTTGTTACGATTTGAATGCAGTAACATCTCACAAGACAACTGTGCTGACCTTAAGCACCCGCATCATCCTGTGGGGTGGGAACCTTGAAAGGAAGAGGCAGAAGTCCTCTGCCAAGTAAATGGGCTACAGAGGACCAGGAAAGAATGGCTTGTCTCTATACAGCACTTTACTGCTTTCTGTCTTGGACACTTTTTTAATCACGAGTTCTCCAGCCTTAGTCTCATTTTCTGGATGAGGATTCTAAGGCTTAGGGAAGGTGAGCAATTTTCCCAAGTTCACACAGCTGGCAGAGCCTGGGCTCAAATGCAGAACTTCAGAGTTAAAACATAGTATCACTTGTATGTCCATGACCTTGGGCCACTTCCCTTGGCAGAAGCCCCTCTGTTCTGTGAGTGGAGGGCTGCAAAGGTGAGTGGGGGCAACAGCTTTAACAATTTATTGCTGGAAATCACCAGCATGATTAAGCATAGGCAGCTGCTGACTTGTATGGGACACAGGGAAGCTCGAATGCCTTCCTCCTCCCAATAAAACCAGCTCCAACTTCCAGAGGTCTGAAATCCTATCATCTAGGGCATTCTCACCTCTCAAAATCCAAGAGTCTTTGGGAGGAATCACTAAATCCTTATCTTCTTATCCCTTGGTGAATACCTTCATCCCATTCTCGAGCATTTACTGAGTACCTCCTATAAGCGTAGTGTTGCACTGGGTAGAGTAGAGCAATGGTTCACTAAATCCTTATCTTCTTATCCCTTGGTGAATACCTTCATCCCATTCCCGAGCATTTACTGAGTACCTCCTATAAGCGTAGTGTTGCACTGGGTAGAGTAGAGCAATGGTTTCCAAAAATTTTGCTTGCATACCACCTGAAGGAGTTTTTTAAATGTTTGTATTGTACACATTTAAAATTTGACAGCTAAACTTTTCATAATAAATTTAAATAGCTGCAAAGGGTATATTTTTGGTATACTGTAAATATTGACATTTTTAAATAAAACATTCATATTTAGAGGTAAAACAATCACTATTTTAAATGTATCCAATGAAATGTAAATACTGTGATGATTTGATACACCATCATCCATAAGCTCTTTAACAGTTGGAAAATTTACATTATTTTCTCCTTATTTCCCTTCTACTTGCCCCATAAACTTTCATCCCAGTGTAACACATTTTAATGTTTATATTATTGATTTCTGCAATGAGATAAAACTAGATTAGTTTCAAATAATTCTGAGAAAATTTCTTGTGACCTTTCTCAAAGCACTAAATGATATGGATTCTACAGGATTGGGTAGTTTTCACATTTATGAATAATATACAATTGCTCAAGCCAGTAAATGCATTACAAATTTTAATACCTATTAAGGAAAAAGTAAAATTTTATTGGAAAGTATTTTATAATGGGATGGGTGGAGATAATATTTTTCCCTATTAGTTTATCCTAAGATGAGTGTTACTGCCAAAATGAGACAGGGTTTAGCATCCTGTTTTTATATATTTATAGACATAAGTGCCTGGAAAATCTTGTTCACTAAAATAATTAAATGGTAATGGAAAAGGTTTTATTAAAGCAACATCATTCAATCCTCTGAACTCTTTCTGATATATGCCAATAATCATATAGTAATCTGTCATCAATTTATTTTATAAATGTTTTATTTTAGAAGAGTTCTACATTTATAGAAGGGTTACAGAGATGGTACAGAGTTCTTGAATATCCCTCACTCAGTTTTCCTATTTTTATCTTACATAACCACGGAACACATGATCACAACTAAGAAACCAACATTGGTACATTACTGTTAACTCCATCAATCTGTTTTTTAATGATTTATTAGCTGTTAACTCAATTAGGTGTTTTTTCAGTTTTGTTGAAAGCACAGAATTAAGCACACCTGACTTGTGAAAGGCTTTGTTATCTAGCCTTTTCCTTTCTTGGTTCCTGGAAGTTATATCAAAAAAGGTTTTGCTAAGACTTACCACATAATTGTGGGTTATACCTGTTTCTCTTTCACTTGTCAAATCTGAAACACTCAAAGTATTAGGAAAATCAAAATAGAGATAATTTTAACATAAGTTTGCCAGTACCGTATTTCTTGATAAGATGCTTTTTTTTTTGTCTTATTTATATCAAAATCTTGGAGCTTCAAATTTAGCTAGTTTAATTAATGGAAAATGTCAGCCATATAACCTAATTGCCAAAGCAGTCCTTATTGTTAAAGCAATCAGTGAAATTAGACCTTATTTTTCAATGTAAGTAAAAATGTTAATATGTTAATGAATTTGAATCCTAAACAGGCAAATGGATATGGCCCAGGTTCAGCCAGGAAGGCACAGCCACGTATAGCATTTCTCACCTTTCTTAATTTGCTTCCACTGGACCCTCCCTCGGGAATGATGTACTTTTTGATAATTATTGGGGCAAGGAAAAAGGTGAAGTGTCTAAACAAAAATTGGCATATTTTCTTCTATTCTCACTCTGCAATATATCTGAATGCAGAAAATCCCAAAATGAGTCAAAATATCCATTTTTAGTACCAGCTCTGTCCTTAACAGAAATATGTAAAAAACATGCATCCCTACTCTCAGGGTGGTGCGCCATACTAATGTTCACTCTGGGAAGTGGGAGGAACCTCGACCACATATGTAGATCCCTCTTAGGGCAATCAGTTATAGGAAAAAGTACATTAGGACCTTTGATGCCATGTACCCCTTGGAAGGCCCTTGGGTACTCCAGTATGTGCATACTTTAGTCTGAGTAATGCTGGAGAAAAGGTTGAAGAGCATGCCGAGACCCCTGCCCACTGTGGGGTCGGGGTCCCTGGGGAAGACAGATGGGCTCAACGACAGCCACCACATGTATCCTTCTCTAAGGCAGGTTTTAATGAAGGAAAGTGGAAAAGTAGGGGTGGGAAGGATGGAGAGTTATGGTCCTTGGTCTGCTTTTGGCTTTTTGACAACTAGTGACCTAGAACAGTTTTTTTCTTCTTCTTAAGCTTGAATAGTATACAGACATCTTGAACGGAAAGACACTTGAACATCCTTAATTAGAAGACTTCGACTTGATCTCAGTTTATGAAAATGGTTTTATATAAATGATCACTGTAAAGTGAAGTTTTGCCTTTAAAGTAGCTTTTTTTTTTTTTTTTGAGATTATAAGTGATGAAAATATAATTTAATGCTAGTCACAGAACTCCTGGACTTCAAAATAAGTCTGCAGCCTCCACTTTGAGATATGCTGAGAATTGGTTGTGATTTAGTTTCCTGTTTTCTCTTGAGTGTTAGAAAAGCCTGGGCTTGTGGGGCCTCTGCCTGTGTGTCCCACATTCTGACTTCTTTTTGTGCAAGAAGAAGCAGGGAGAAGTCAGCAAGGCCGCCAGTGCCGACAGCACGACTGAGGGCACGCCCGCCGATGGCTTCACCGTCCTCTCCACCAAGAGCCTCTTCCTCGGCCAGAAGGTAGGCAGACGTGTGGCTTCAGTCTGCTCAAGGGCCCCGGGACGGATGGCAGGCCTGGGGATTCCTGGGGCCACTCCCAGCCTCGTGGGTGGACAGAGTGGCTTTGAGAGTGGCCTCAGGGGAGGTGAGGTGCTGAGGAGACCACAAAGCTGAGGGGGGACTCTGGCAGGTGGGGAATGGGAGATAGTGCTAAAGAGAACAGGGGGGTTCAGTAGAGGATCAGGACCCTTGGGGTTAGCCTGGAAAAGGAGCTACTTCTGTGGGGTAACTTAGTCATCAGATAGCACTGGCCAGAAAACTAGGCAGAAGTCAGAACCCCCCTTGTGGAAGGTGCATGATCTGGCAGGTGGCCTACCTGTTCTGGTGGGCCCTAAAGGCAGAGCCCCCAATCTGATCCCGGGCGGGATTGTTTCCAGATACACTAATGGGTGCACTGGGTTTCTTCACTGAACCACCAGACGACTCTTCAAGCCAATTGTTTGTTTGTTTTAACCACGGGCAATATATTTTCAGCCGCCCCAGTGATGCACCTTTGCCAGGACGCCATGGTTTTGTAAAAGACGATTCACTTTTATTGAAAATAAAAATGATGCAACAGCTTTTAAGACCTGAGAATGACAGTTAATTAATATATCTCTATTAACACCAAAAAAAGGGGTGGGGAGAGAGGGAATTAAGTTTTTCTCGATTTTTTTTTAACCTACATTCAAAAAAATTAAAGGAATGAATTGACCTTCCTTGTAAATTTGAGTTTAGTTTGAATGGTAACAATTTGGTTGTGAAGCTGCATCATTTTTAAATCCTCACTGTCAGTTTTCTTTTGCATCACAGTGACACGGCTCTCTGCTCACATCATTGCAAGTCCTCCCCCACCCCGTTCCCTCTTCCTATCGCTAATTGCACTGTCTCTCATGATGCACTTCCTGTGGTGGACTCTGTATTCCAGAAAATAACCATTACTGTTTACATTTTATAACCATTATCTGTATTTTGTATGCATTTTTCAAAAGAAAAAAAAAGCAGCACTAGTTGTCATCTTAAGGTCTGGGGCTTTAAAAGGTTCTGTTTAAAATATTTTTTATTCATTTAAAAATTCTAACTCAGCAGTGAAGGCAACCACCTGGGTCTACTTTCACACCCTTTAACATGTTCTTTGAGTAATATTGAAAGTTAATGTGACCTGTCATCCAAATTGCTTCAGTTTGAACTAAAGCGTGAAAACTGCCCTGCTACTTAGTACTAGCTCCAGTGTGTTCTGGATCCCCAGTACAGACTATTAGCCAGGAGACTTGGAGGCCTGTTTAACAGGTAGAACAGTTCAGCCCCATGGGGTCACTCTTTCCCTCACTCCTGCCGCACCCTGCCCTTGGGTGCCCCCAGCTCTGGCCTCTTCCTTCCCTGTGTTCTTCTTGCTACCTCCTATTGGTCACCCCACATCCAGCCTACAATCAGAAATCTTCACCCTGCTCTTTGCTGGGTGAACTCAGATTTTCCCAAACTAGCAGCAATGAGCTATGCAAATGTCCATGTACAAATGGATATCCCTTTCTTGTTGCTCGGCTCTTCAGAAAGAAATGGGATCAGATCTCTGTCTGGGCTCTGTTGCATGTGAGCCCTGGAGGAGAGGTGGGCAAGGGCTATAGACACCTTGCTGGCTGCTCTGCAGAGCTGTGTGCACATTAGCCTTTCAGCAACTCTTCTCTGACATGTTGGGTACATCTCAGGTCTCAGGATCAGGTGCTACAAGACTAGAAATATTGTACAATAAAGTACAAATCTAGCTAATACCGACTGTCCCCCACTCAGGGTTGGGAGGGAGCGTCCAAAAAGCCACAGAGATTTATTGATACTCAGTAATAATTTACAGACGTATCATCTAGTGTTATTTAAGAAACAGAGGAGAATGAAAGCGGTGGGCTTGATAACGAAGCTAATGTGCCTGTTTGATATCTTGACTTTTGGAGGGAGACTCTGAAAAGATTGGTTGAGCTGAAACCCCGTATAAAATGGTCAGCTGTAAGAGGAGGGGCTGAATGCAGACACAGGCAGACCCCCAGCCTTCTTTCCCAGATCATACATTCCAGTCTCTTCGTGGTGAAAAGAAAATACAAAGCTGCTGTGAAACTGCCCTTCCTGTTAAATGTGCTTGCAACTTAATAACCCAAGATTCACATACCCAGGAAGAGGTACCCCCAAATCCAAGACTTCATATGCCTTTTAGCAGAGTAAACTGTGGCTTCATAGAATAAAGCAGCATCTCAAGTCAGCCTGGGCACAAGTGTTAGAAACTGGGGTGCCAGCTGCCCTTTTTGGAACCCTGCATCCCTGCAGCATGAGATGGTGTGAACATTGATATTTCAGAGCGTTATTTCGAAGCAGTATTTTCTGGCCCTTTATTGGGTATTACTGTCAGGTAAAAATCATGGTATATAGTTCAGAAGGGGCAAGAGTAATAAAACCAACACATACAGATTTTACACAAAGCATATTATAATGTTATTACAGAAATTAGTTTTGACTTGGATTTTAGGAAATGTTTCAAAAAGGGTACTTTAAAATAATGACTGTATGGTACTCTGTGTTCTATGAATCTTATTTTTCCATCTATGACAGTGAAACCAATGCTTCAATATTGTAAGCAAGCTGGGGTGGACGAAGGTAATATCTGCTTGCTACAGCCCTGTAAAGGCCTGGTTACTAAGCTACTCACAGAAGGAAACAGCCCAGGGCTTAGGAGCCGGGTCTAATTGTTGTTGTTAATGATATATTTCACATAATGAAGCCTCGGGAGTAATCACCCTCATTACTCTGATTTTACCCAGTGTTCACACACATTTTTTAATTGTTTTAAAAAGAAAACAGTGTTGTGAATCTGAGTCAACTAAATGTTTTTGCTTTGTGTTTCAACTGAGATTTGCGGTCTCTTTGGAGAGGTAAAAACCTGATGGTTTTATTTCCAAAAAAATCCCTTCCAGTGTGAATACCTATACATCTGTCTGTGCCAATGGCAGTAAATGATTTAGGTCTCCTTGGTAGAGTAAGTGTTTGAAGCAGCTGGCAATCTCAGGAGGGTGTACATGAGTCTTCATGCCTCCCAAATGGTCAGGGTCATGGCCAAGCACTGGAGGCCATCAAAGGCAGACACGGCTGCTGTGGGTTTTCTCCCTGTGATCCACACACCCTTCTCCTGGGAGCTGAGAGACTGTAAGGACAGAGGGTTTGAAGCAGCAGTGAGGGAGAAGAGCCGTGCACCCCTTTCCACCATTGTGGCCAAGGACTGGCCGTGGAGACAGTTCCGAAAATGGATGAAACCAGGAGGAATGGCTCAGCTAGCAGGCCTCCAGCAGTGCCCACACTCAGCCCTCACTTTGTGAGGCACTTTCTAGCCAAAACCCTCCAGATGTCACCACTAGGCCAAGGGCTGTGGAGAAACTGAGGCTGGGCATGTGTGCAAGGTGGGCAGCATAGCACAGGTGTGAGGGCAGGAGTGGCCTTGAGGGGGCCATAGGGAAAACATGGTTCTTGTGAGGGAGGAGTCTGTGGAAGACATCACCCTTCCAGCCCCCCTGGTTGGAGTGGATTTGAAGGACAGGAAAAGAACTGCATTTTATGTGGCTAGCACAGGGAAATGAGACTGGCCAGGCTTCCTTACTTGTCCATTATGAAGGAATGAGAGACACCAAAATTTGACAATTACAGGATATATTCAACATTATCACTCAGATAATCTTTAATATCACTTTCATTGCTAAAATTGAATTTCTGATTATATTTTTTTGAAAATAGAAGAGATTGAACTGTGTGTCCTGTAGCCAAGTAGGTCAGGTCAAGGCAGTCTGCATGTCCCCCAGTAGCTTGAAGCCACTGGTTTCTTCCCTTTCATCGACAAACTGCCTCTTGACTTACCCTAAATGGTGGGTGCCAGCCTCCTGTCCAGGTGAGGCCAGGTTGGCGCTGAGCTACCTCAGGTCCAGGCCAGGCCAAGGTCCCAGTTCCTGAGCTCAGGCATTTTCATGAACCCTGCTTTAAGGGAAGGGAGGGACATTCATTTTATCTCAGAATTATGTGAGGATATTAGATGTTCAATTCCAACTCTATGTACCTACAGAAAACCTAGCACTATTTTAGGCATTGTGTGGCACTTAGGTTTAGGAGGCAACACACTCTCTGCCTTCAAGGAGCTTATACTCTAATGAGCTCACATCATGAGTAGAGAACAAGGATTAAAGTGGACACAACCTCTGTAGAGAAGACTTGGGTACTTTAGACTTAAGAGAGTGGCTACAGGAGAGCCAACTGTGATTAAAATCATCAGATCCCAGTGATGGAAAGGATCCTGAAGGTCCTTTGGCTAAGTTCCTTTCTCCCTACTCCACAGCCAATTATCCCCCGCCCCGCTCTATAACTTACAATACCCTGTGGTCACTTCCTCCAGTGGCCAACAATATTCATGGCTGCTTTACATTGTCCAAGCTGTTGTTTAAAACTTGTAAGTTTTAAAGAAGTAATCACCTTTTCAAATTCTATATGTACTATTAATGATCCTCTTCTTTCCTGGCAAATCAGACTAATCTGGGAAATTTTCATAGTTCCCCAGAAATCTGATTTCCCAACCCCCAAGTACCTTCTCTGTCACTTCAGATGTACTTCAGATGGCCACATGGCCTTTTGACTGAAATGCCCAGTTGGATTTCACCCCGGGTGGAGAGAGGGGCCCTGGGACCTCCTCAGACTGGGCATCTGCCTTGGCCCTGCCATGCCTGCTCACATGTGACCAACTGGACAGCAAGGTTCTTTCCACACATGTGCAAACATGGCCCATTTGCACCCTATGCTTGTGGGTTTTCTTCTGTTCAGGGGCACCACTATTTTTATTCGTGATCATCTCACTTTCAGCTTCTGCTCATTGGTCCAGCCTCCCCAAGCCTAGTTGATTACCTATTTGTCTTTCCAAAGTGCCTAAATCAATTTGTCTCCTCCCCTCCCAATTCCACACAAACACCCCAAGTACACAGTTTCTAGTCTAGAGAATTTTTTAAAAATACATATTTGTACATATTTTATAAGCATTAAAACTATTTTGTGGCTCAGCCCCACTCCTGGGGACTTCTGCTGAGCCCTAGTGCATAACATAGCATAGTTGGAAAATCACTACTCTAGTCTCCATCCCCTGTCAGAGGGGTAAGGGGAATTAATTGGCCTAGGATTACTGTCCTGGATTCCACTCTGCCTCTTCCTTTTCTTTAGGTACAAGTGCCTGCAGTCTCATCCTCAGCTGTGGGTGAAAGAGCGAAACAGCACTTGGCTGGCTGCCAAGTCTCAGTGTTGAGCAGTGGTGGCTCCCAAAGTATAGTAGTCTGTGCTTCCAAGAGCAGGGCTGCCTCTGGGCAGAAGGGAAGGCCATGAGTCCAGAGAGAAGTGGGAATTCTCCAAGGAACTTCAATTCTCCCTCACTTCAGCAAAGCCAAGAAACCCCCAGTGTCACCAAAGAATCCCTTTCCCTAGACAGAGTGGTTGTTCTCCCGAGAACAGAGGCAGCCACCAGCTACTGGGATCTTTCCAGCTAGTTGAATCGGATCTCATGAAAATAGCTGCTTTTCCAATAACACATTTCTGAATACAGACCCAGAAACATCTATACAATTAAAAATAGTGTGAATTTTAAGGACTGAACATGTATAATTTTTAAACAAAAAAGGAATCTTATGTCTTAAAAGTATACTCATCCACGCCACACCAAGTGAAGTGTTTCTTTCCTTTTTTTCTCCTTTGTCTTCTTCCCTCGCCAACCTCTTGCCTTTTCACACAGTGTAAGGTTTTTTATTGGTGGGAACAGGGAGTATTGGCTTAGTTGGTTTTTATAAACAGCATTTGCAGGCCGGCCCGTGGCTCACTCGGTAGAGTGCGGTGCTGATAACACCAAGGCCACGGGTTCGGATCCTATATAGGGATGGCCGGTTTGCTCACTGGCTGAGCGTGG